TTTAAAAAATTTTCATTCTAGGGGCTAGGAAATCATTACAGAAGTTACAGCACATGCTTAGCATGCATCCTACTCCAGTTTAGTTCCTGTCACCACATGGTCTTCTGGGTATCTCTCAGGTGCAGCCTGAGAGACCCCCAGCATCACCAGGATGGCCCAGATATCACTGGCACTGCAAGGCCCTAGCAGTATTACACCCTCGGGTCCTTTTAATGAACTGTTGGCTTCACCCCATTATACCAGCTTTTCTGTACAGGTTTTTGTTCACCGACCTGAACCTTCTGAGCACAGGTTGGGACCCACTCCCAAAATTCTTTCTTTGAAATGAGCTAGTAGTGTATCTATGAAACTAGATAATAAGACATTTTTAGGTAAAACTAGTGTCTTATCTATAAAACTAGATGATAAGACACTTTTAGGTAAAATTAGTGTCCTCTCTATTTCATTTTCTAAGTCAACATTTTTGGTTTTGTTTGTTTTTTAGTGAAGCAAAAGAGTTTTTATTGAAAGAAATTTACTTAGATCAGTGTGAGGGTAGAGAAAGAGAGGACTGTATGTTCAAGAGAGAACATGACCTTCTCCAGAGTAAAAAAAGCCGAGGAAAGTGTTTAAGAGCAAACACGGGCTTGGAAGAAAAGCAACCAAACCTCTTCCTGTCAATTTTTAAACAAATGTATTTTGTTTATACTCAGGAAACCTCCACAACAGTTATTTATTCATTGAATAAATATTGAATGAATAGTATATGCCCAACGTGTGGGTAGTTTCTTGGTTTAAAGGTTTTATGGACAGTAGTCTTTACCTTCTGGTAACTGCTAAGGACAAGGTCCTCATATAGAAGTATTAGGATACAACTGCTACAAAAGTCTGATGTCAATAGCCATAGAATTGTACAGCAGGTAGAGCAATTGCCTAGCGTGCAGCCAATCCTCGGTTCATCCCTGGCGATCCATATGACCCTCTGAGCACCACCAGGAGTGATCCTTGAGCTCAGAGTCAGGAGTAACCCCGAGCACAGCCAGGTATGGCCCAACAACTCCCACCAAAAAGTCTGATAGAAAATTGCAGAGATTTTTCAACTGGGCTAAGAAATTCATACCTCCTCTTCTATGTAGTGCAAGATCCTTTTTATTTTAAATCTGGGAAGGACATATTTAAAACTCTATTTTAGCCAAATGAATCAATTCTATGCTAAGTATGGATGAAAGTTGAGAGCTAGTCTAGGCATGAGTCAAAGTATTCAGTAAATATTTGAAGTAGTAAGTGAAATAATAAGGCCACAGTATTGACAATGATATGGAAGGCTAGCGGAAATATTCTGAAAGGGTAGCCAATAGAACTTTGAAATTGAGATGACCAGAATGAAGAGACTTGAAGATAAAGGATGCAGGCTAAGTCTCTGAGGGAATAGAATTGCCACCATTTTTCATTCACTAGATTCAATAGGAAGATGAGCTCAGTTTCATTAGAATGAGAAAAACTAGAAAGAAAAGTAAATCCATCTCTCTTACAGTAATATCTGAAGCTAGAGGGGGAAATATCCTAAAGGGATTAAGAAAAGTAAAAAATATGAGGAGAGGTATCACAATATTTTAACTTTTATCTATTTAGTTTTGCCTTACAGTACTATTATCAGTGGCATCTCATGGACATAATTCCAACACCATACACATCACAAGTGTACTTGTTTCCCTCCCCTCCCTCTAACCCTTCCCTCTCACACACCCCAACAAAATTGTGTGTTAGTTTTCCCACTTGGATCTTTGTTGCTGTTCTGCTGTGTAGCTTCAAGTCCCACATAGGAGAGAGATCATTCTGCAAGATGTCACAATTTTTAGAAAGCCCTTCTTTCGGATTAAGAAGGAGAAATGAAGAAGTAGGAATCAGAAAGGTGAGCAAAGCATCTAAGAATGTGAAGTATCACTTAAGCTAAAGAGAAAGTTCTCTGAAGAGGTGATAATCTCTTCGTGAATGGCTGCGGAGATTACAGTGAAGTTACTAACCACTGGCCTGCTCTATCAGGCCATGAGTCCTGACTGGTATGTTTTCTTCTGTAGGACCTTATCCTCATGCAGGGATCTTTCACTGGAATGGGGATTCCCAAGTGGTGCTCAGAAGTCTTGGGGGTCCCTCTTGAAGATTCTCAGCTAACCGGGCTGGTGGTTCAATGTTCAATGCAAGGGCCCATGGTTGCAGTTCAATGTAACCCCTGCAGTTTCAACCTGGGGTTGCTCAGGGCCTCCCAGACTGCACTAGGCAGTGCGTGGGGGACCATGTGGTTTTGGGATTGAACCAGGATAGGCAGCTTGCAAGGTCTGGACCTTAACTCTGCCCCTAGTTAGCCATTCATTCGGAGGACACAAATGTTTGTAATTTAGTAGTGTTAGTGGCATCCAGATCTGCCACTAATAACTTATAGCTATTCTTAGAATGATGGTATAATTGATTTTGTTCTGTGTGATTTATAAAAGTAAAATCTATTTTGTAAGATCATAAAAATCTCATTGGAACCACAGAAGATTTATAGTCATCTGTAATCTGTTGTAGCATCAGCACCAAAAGCTCAGTCACATGCATCTAGCTGTAAACTTCTGGTATGGGAGAGACATGCTAATAGACTAGCTTTTAATCCCTCAATTGGTGTTTTTCCCCTTCAAATCACCTTCTCCTAGACAGCAGGTGCATTAATGGTCGTGCAACTTTGGGGAGTCCCTTTAGGGAATTTCCTGTTTTTCCCTTTTACATTTCACACCCGTTCCTTGCTCCTGCTGCTACCATCTGCTATCTCTTTTCTCCTGTTCAGCATTGGCTTCTTCACACCCCACTCCCACGCCCTTTTCCATCTCTCTCCGTCTGTCCAACAGCCCTGCACTTAGACTGCTCCAGTGCTTATACATGGATCAAAGAACTTTCTCTTTCGTATCAACTTACTAAGCTCACAGGAAAGGGAATTTGCATGGCCTTCAACCAAGGCCTCTGTGAACCTGACAAACATACGCAAGCTCAAGACCACATCGGTGCTGACTTGGGGAACATTTAAAAGGGCTCAGTTGTTGGGCTGGAGAGACAGTACAGCAGGGGGCTTGCCTTGCACATGGCCAACCAGGGTTCAGTCCCAGGCATCCCATATGGTGCTCTGAGCACAACTAGGAACAATTCCTGAGTGCAGAGCCAGGAGTCAACCCTGAGCATTGCCAGGTATGGCCCCAAAACAAACATTTTTTAAAGGGCTCAGTTGTTTCAGTGACAACTGAAGAGCCTTGCACTTCTGGGCATGTGCTTGATAATCAAGGTGAACTGCTTCCCAGGACATGAATTAAGTTCAGTTACCCAGTGTTAGGCGTTTGCCTTGCGTACAGCCAGCCTGGCCGAGCCGGGTTCGATTCCTCCGCCCCTCTCGGAAAGCCCGGCAAGCTACGGAGAGTATCTCGCCCGCACGGCAAAGCCTGAACAATGGGAGGACAATGACAGTGACAGTGACAGTGACCCAGTGTTTGTAAAACTGTAAGATAAAATTCATACATCTGCAGGTCAAAGTACAAGTTCAAGCATGGTGCTGGAATGCCACCAGCTAAATGGATTCCTACCTAGCATAAAACATGCCATGGAAATTTCTTAGAAATCTAGTATAGCGGGAGTGATAGCACAGCGGTAGGGCATTTGCCTTGCACGCAGCCAGCCCGGCCGAGCCAGGTTCGATTCCTCCGCCCCTCTCGGACAGCCTGGCAAGCTACCGAGAGTATTCAATATGCCAAACACAGTAACAAGAAGTCTCATAATGGAGACGTTACTGGGCCTGCTCGAGCAAATCGATGAACAACAGGAGGACAGTGACCTGACAGTGACCTAGCATAGGCCCGACTGACCCGGGTTCAATACCTCCGCCCTTCTCGGAGAGCCCGTCAAGCTACCGAGAGTATCTTGCCCGCATGGCAAAGCCTGGCAAGCTATCCATGACGTATTCGATGTGCCAAACACAGTAACAATAAGTCTTACAATGGAGATGTTACTAGGCCTGCTCGAGCAAATCGATGAACAGTGGGAGGAGAGTACTACAATGCTAGTGTAGAAAAATGGAGCTAGTGCAAAGATTTTTGTCATGTAGTACTTCAGTGTCTGACTGAGCTTTTAAATGTATGATGTATTATATTAATACAAAAATTTTAAATGGAGGGGACAGAGAGGCAATACAGTAGGGAAGGCACTTGCCTTGTATGCAACCAATCCAGATTTTACCCCAGCGCCCCATGTGGTCCCCCAAGTACTGCCAGGAGTGACACCTGAGCATTGAGCCAGAAGTGTGCCTGGAACTCTGCCAGGTGTGACGAAAACAAACAAAATTTCAATTTTTGAATATTCAGCAAATGAAACCTGTGGTCCTAATATACGATGACATGGTGTGGACATAGTGGAACTCTTCACTTTTCCCCCCTTTTTTGTTTGGGGACCTTGCCCAGCAGTACTGGGTGAAGGTGGAGGCATGGGAGTACCCTTATTTTGGCCCAATGCTTTGGGGACCACACAGTGTGAGGATGCATCCCAGCCTTTAGAGCTGTCTTCCTGACCCAAACTGTTCACTTGCAAGGTTAGAACAACATGGGCCTGCCTAGATATGTTTTTATTATCGAAATTCTTGACTATACTTAATCCATCTGGCTGTTCATAGGTGATATTAGAGCTAAGTTAACACTTTAACCAGTTTTAGAGAAACTTCTTTGCAAAAACTACTGGCAGTTATCAGCTATTTAAAACAAAAAGGCAGAACTTAGGAAAACTACCATCACCACCTCACATATATATCTTTTACTAAAACTAAAAGAAACTCTGTACTCTCCTTTTTAAACTTAATGAATCATTGATCAGGCCTCGTACCTTCATCCCCCTCCACCAGTTCAAATGGGAAGAGTAAAGAAAATTGGGATACAGATATTGCTATTTCAACTGACATTTGTATGTATATTATGTGATTTATGTGTTTTAAATGCTGGTATCTGTTACAGGATATAGATGTAGCAGAAAAGTCTCTACAAACCAGGATTCACTCATCTATACCACCTGAGGTGGTTTCTCTTGAGGTGAGAATCTTAAGGAACAAATGTAATAGAAGTGATCCCATTGTGTTAATAGCGTATTATAAACCAATGATCCTATATGTGCATTTCCCAGATTTATTCAGTAAAATAATTAAATCTGTCTGATGTGTCTATGTCCACAGTATCATGTAAGACTCATTTTTAAAGTTATTATCCAGTGAAAATTTTATAAAAATCCTGCCTCTTTTCAGCTAGTCAATTAAAAGCAACTGTCCTGTGAAGCCATAACAGACAATCTGCACTAAATCTTAGGATGACAGAGTGCCGTACCAAATTGCTTTTTCTGCTGTCTGCTGTTAGAAGTAGCATTTTAGTCCCTTCACCAAAAATTTAACCAGCACCATATAAATGCCTACTCTCACGAGCTACAGTGTAGCTTTTGTATGTTTTGTTTTGCCCAGTTCAAGAAAAGACCGAGATGATGGCTGACAAAAATGAACTGTATTTGGTATATGAATATGTTTAGGATGAAAGGGAACATATTACATACAGAATAGTTTGCTTTTACATTTTTAATGTTGTTTTTCAAATACAGCTTTTTCTTCTTCCCTAACCAGAGATGTGAACAGACTCAAAATTAAAGGCTAAGAATGTGTCCCTCGATTTTCTGTGTCATCTAGAGTAGTAAGAAAGGGCAGTCATCAAGGACAGAAAAAAAAAATCTGGTACAAAGTTGTGCGTTGGGCATGTCTTTTTCTTTGTTGAATTCTCCAAAACCTTGCTCTGGCCTGTACAGGGCCTACACAATAGGAGTTAATCCAGCTATGAATAGTGGAGAAACTCCCAACCACGGTCCTCGGTGGGTATTTTTTCTTTGCTAGTCTTGCACAGTAGGATAACCTTTATTTTAAGTATGTTGGGCTGTTTCTCAGACCACATGCACAGTTGTATAGATAAGTAAAATCTCTCCATTTCCAGCTCAGAAGCCCTGAGCCTTTTAAAATGCTCTTACAAATAATCCATCAATCATGTTTTCACAACATTACCTAATTTTTCAAATATTACCTACCTTTTGCACTGAATTTCCAAAAATGAGATTGATAATGGTGATCTAATAGAAAACACTTTCCAGTCTCAAGAGTCGTTTGACAACTTGGTTTTCTTTGGCTTCCATAGGGAAGTTATTCAAGAAACCTTCAAAGCCCACAAACGTAGTATGGCAGTGATAAAAAAACGCTTCTAGCTCTTATAGACTGCTCTAGTCAGTTCAATAGTACAGCACCTTTAAAATTTATTAGACTAAGTGATATCTTATTCTCTCATCAGAAAAAAACTCTGAGAATTACGAGTTGTCATATCAAGTGATCTGAAAGTAAAGGACATGGTAGATGTAATTATTTTGTTGTATTTTATATTCAAAATGAAATGTCCAACCACCTAAATCCTCTATTATATTCAGTTCCTGATCTCATTCCAGGTCAAAACTTTATATTAATTTAAATCAGTTGTTTACATTTAGCCATTTTATTCACATTTCATAATCATTTCGTTATGGGTAATCATTTGGTCTAGGGAGTTGGAGCCTTAAATAAAAACAGTTAATGATCTTACGTAGCCCTAAATTATACTACTGGTAATAATCACAAGGTTGGCCACAAGAGGGCGTGTAAAATCACAATAAAATTCTAAAGCCTGTCATTCTGCCAGATTCTAGTTTTACTGAGAAATTTGAAAATTAACACGAGTAAGTAGCCAGAATTTTCTCTTAAATTAACATAAAATATTCTGTGGAGGAAGTGCATTTTATGTGTATGTGTGTACATGCACACACACATGTAAGTGAATAAACATTGAGACTATTATGAAGAGCCAAGTTCAATTGCTTGATACGCTTTTTACTTTTGGATTTTTTTTCCAGACTCTTTACTGGGCATCAGTAAAAGAATATATTCCCAAATGGGAACAATTTCTTTTAGGAAGAGCACAACATCCTATGGTGCTGAAAATCAAAATGAAGCACAAAGTACCATTTAAAACGAGACACGGCGCTAACTTCACATGCTGGTTTGAAACAATAAACAACCTGTTTGGCAAATCTTAATAATAAATATGTAGGTCTCTAATATGGGAGAATGAATTTCTTCATATTAGCCCCTTAATGAAGGTGAATATGAGAGAATCTATTCAGATATTTGAGCTATCACTTAGATTTATTATTAATTCATGAATTTGCCTTCTGTTAATGTGATGGAAATGTTTAAAAGTACTGAGATGTGGAAAGTTTATTAAATAAACTACAAAATGAGTACTGTGTGTGTTTATTAAGATCATCTACAGTCATTCTCCTAAATAATGACAACCAGTTCTTAGCTTTGATTTTGCATTTTCTAATATCTTTACTTTCTGGGTATTTCATTATAGGAACAAGGTTTATGATCAAAGTGACTTTTTGCTCACTATTAAGGTTTGTTATAATAACTGGGAAATCAACAACACTTAAACACTTTTCATTAATAGCAAAATATATATGAGGCCCAACATGCTATGAATATAATGAGATTTCTAAAAGTTATGGGAGGATAAACTGAACTGGTGTTTTAGGATAACTCAGACATGGTTCTGAAAATAAATACCTAGTAGATCTGGGAATGGTTATTAGATTTTTAATGTTGTGATTTAATGATCATCAACCTTGTGAATGTAAATAACTTTTCTACCACCATTTCATCTTTAAGCTTGCCTTTTCTTTCTCCCTTTTATTTTCATTACTTCTGAAACAGCAGTCAATAATAAAGCTTTGGGTCAAAACCCTAAATAGCATAGAGATTCCTCAGTTAACTACTGCATCAGAAAAGAAAAATTAGAATTTTTCTAATAGTAGATTCTGTCATGCTAGTAAAGAGAATCTATAATACATTCATTGCAATTTAAGATTTTAAATGTCACATTTTGTGTTTTTGAAAGACAATAGAACAAGCTAAAAAAACCCTGAAATGTCCATTGTACTGATAAGTTCCTTTAAACTATCATCTTGGAAATATCCTGTTGAGTGGGTGTTGGTGTGGGTAACAATAATGTTGTTTTCATAATATGCGCTGGCACATTAGCACACTTCTCTACAGTGTTAACAGTTGTAATTAAGGAATAAACAGCACAGAGTGTCAGTCCGATGACAATTTCATCTATAGTGTCACAATACAAAATGTCACAAAATATTAGAACTGTTACATAACTATAAAAAGTATCAGCTTAAAAGCTGAAAGCCCTTTAAAAAGGAAGACAGAGAAAGGAAGAAAAAAGAGAACTGGCATAGAGACCACAACAATTTTATACCTTCTCAAGAATGTTCTGTCACAAAAATAAATTGATAATTTTTCCCCTGTTACATTACAGTTTGGTTTCTAGGCATCCAGTTGATTTAACAGGAGAATGCAGGGCTTTTTAGCAGCTTTGAATTGGTAAACAGATTTAGATGTAGTCGAAAAGGAACATGAGGAAGGTTTCTTTTTTTTTTTTTTTAACATCCAATCTTTCCTAGCATATGTACATAAGAAGGTGAATGAAGCAATGTGAAACTTATTTCTCTTTAGTCGAGTGAAAAAAAGGCTAAACATTTGTTGAGATGGTAAAATATTGTGTCAAGCAAGTAGGCACATTCCAAAATTAAACAGTGGTTGATATGTTAACGTCCTCAAATATTTGAGTGTACACTTTCTTTGAGTTCTGTAAATTAAATCACGAGTAGATTAGATTAAAATATAAAACAAACAGGAATGTAATCATCTCAGGAAAGGTTCAGGATTTTTCTCCCCTAAATTAGCTAACTTACCAGTAATTTTTGGGAAAAAAACAAAGAAGGAAAAAAAACATTAGGGTCCATATACCATAGATTCTGATTTCGAGAAGAAGAGAAGTTATTTCCATGCTTTGGCTATACTGTTTCTCTCATTTCTAGTTAATACCACAAAAACTTCTTTCCCCACCCACCCCTCTCCTGAAGAAATTTTCCTCCCTTACATGGTACTACATGGTTTTTTTGTTTGTTTGTTTGTTTGTTTGGGAGGGTTCACACCCAGCGATGCACAGGGGTTACTTCTGGGTCGTGCACTCAGGAATTACTCCTGGCGGTGCTCAGGGGATCATATGGGATGCTGGGAATTGAACCTGGGTTGGCCGCGTGCAAGGCAAATGCCCTACCCGCTGTGCTATCACTCCAGCCCCAATACTACATGTTTTTGTGGGGCTTTGTGTGTTTGGTAGGGCTAGCATGACATGCTATGCTCAGATTGTACTATTGACAGTGCTCAAGGTATCAAGGTACCATATGCAGTATGGGTTGATGGGGGCGGGGATGGTAGGGGCGATCAAAGGTATATGTTTTGTTTTCAAATCCCCATAGGGAAATTGGTACCCCAATTAAATATCATCATAGTCCTCATAATAAATTATCTTCCTTTAGGAATTTCCAAATAGTCTTTTCTATAAGGAAGGCTGAAGAGCCACCCTGATATGTATCTTTGTACACAACATAAAGAGGAACTAGTTATACTTTTTTATAACTTTCAGGGCCCAAATAGTCTATCTATCTCTTTATGAAAGCAATGAATTCGTATTTTCTTTGGATAATAGAACTTTCCAGGTAAAGGTGGCTTCAAAATGTTTCTATAGTCTTTATTGAATTACTGAAAATGCTTACGTATCCACAGTACTTTTGGGCTGAAATTTTTGTACTAGATTTTTATACTAAGAGGTTATAAAAAGAGGTTATTATACTAAGGTGCTAAGGAGTCAAAGGAGCTACTCTCTAACATTAAAAAAAAAGTTCTAAGTACTCTGGGAAAAGCTTATCTACAAAGTATATTCTCTGCATTCTTGGTGTATTCATTTGTCTTTTTACTTTAAGCCAATTCACATTTTCCACTTCACTTGTGTTGTTGTCTTATTAAATAATGTCTTGACTAGGGACAGCTCAGTGATAGAGGACTCTCCTTGCACAGGTGAGGTCATGGATTCAAGTCCTGACACCGCATTGAGTTGGGACTCAAATTTTCCCCCTTGAAAAGAAAGGAATTTAACTTAAGACAAAATTAAATTTTAAGTACCCCAAGCCCAAGAGATAGTACTTGGGGGGATAAGCTACTTGCCTTGCCTTAGTTCAATACACAACATCACACATGATACTCTAAGTCCTGCCAAGAGTGACCCCTAAGCACAGAGCCAGAAGTAAGCCCTGAGCATTTCTGGGGATGACCGCAAAGCAAAAAAAAAAAAAAAAAAAAAAAAAAAAAAAAAAAAAAAACCAAAGAGTTCCCTGTTGTTTTCTTTTTTAAAAAGAACTGTCTAAAAAGAGCTATATGACTATATGACTTAGAACACAATTTCAGCAACCTATTTTGACCTACTTAAATTAGGAAACTAAAATATATATACATAAATATGTATATATATAGTATATATAGGCAATATTCAGGCTGTGAGTTCAAATGGGGGAAACAAGTGGAAAATGTGAAGGTGAGGAGAGGAGAAATTAATTTGAGAAACCTTCAAGTTTAAATAATCCAATAGCTGTGTGAGTGTGTGTGAGAGAGAGAGGGAAAATAAGAGAGAAAAAGGGAAAATTTAGAAGTTAATTTTTTCTGAATAGGAAATTTAATTCCCTACCATTAATCAAAGAATGTTTAGAGTTTTCTGAGACAAACATGAGGACCTGTCAAACTGTAGTCATTAAGGAAAACTGATTTTCAGATTTGACACTCTGGCATTGTGATCTCCCTTTCTTGCTGGAACTGAGATTATATCCTAAGTAAAATCTAAGAAAAAGAAAATGACTTCAACAAAGAGGCTAGGAAAATGCTTCCGGTCATTATCTAACCTCTCGGAGTCAAATTTCCTTGCTTACAAGAAAGAGAACCTGGTCCCTACACTATGGAGTGTCTAAAAATTCTTGCTTTTTTTTTTTTAAAGAAAGCTAATTTATGACTCAAAAAACAGAATTAGAGTCTTTACAAAGTAGTCATTAGACTTTTAGTAACTAAACCAACATTGTTTCCTCTCTGCACTGAGAGGAAACAATGAAGTATTCTTAAAACTTTTAATGATAATTGGGCATTTAGTCCACGCTGTTAAAGTCAAAGTACTTTTTATTATACCTCCTAAATTGAGGTTATCAACCTGGGAGTTTTTCGGTTGTTGGACAAAATAAAACATTGGGACAATACCATCAAATTAGAGGGAGAGCCTAATGTAGAGATTTTAGAAGTGAATGTGGTAAACACAAAGGTGCATAACATTTGAGTGCTTCGAATGAAGCACATTCATACATTCATCAGCCCTTCTGACTTTCTTTTGTGTCAGCAGACACAGTTCTAAGCACAAAGAATAGAGCAGTAAAGAGGCAGCCCCAAAAAATAAAAGTGCGTGTCCTCATGGATCTTAGATTTTGAAAGGCACAGGGGAACAGTGGGGGCGGGGTGTTAATGATTTTAAAATGTAATAGGTAATAAGACCTAATGGAGTATGAATTTCTAAAATGTCTTCAATGCAAGAAAACAAAGCTGATTTCATAACTTCTCAGAAAATGTCTAGAACAGTTTATTTTTCTCCAAGTTGAAAGATATTAAGTTGAAATTTTTCCAGTGAAGCAACATTTTTACCATTCCTAATATGGAAATTGTGTAAGTTTAATGGATCAGTTAATGATAAATAATGCAAAAAAGTTCTCATTACTTCAGCAGATATTTGTACATCAATACTCATAACAGTATTTGTTCATAATACTCAAAAGGTGAAAACAACCCATATGTCTATCAGCGAAGGAAAGAATAAAGAAATTTGTGGGGGGCTGGAGCAATAGCACAGCAGTAGGGCGTTTGCCTAGCACATGGCCAACCTGGGTTCAATTCCCAGCATCCTATATGGTCCCCCAAGCACCGCCAGCAGTAATTCCTGAGTACAAAGCCAGGAGTAACTCCTGTGCATTGCCGGGTGTGACACAAGAAGGAAGCAAAGAGAGAGAGAGAGAGAGAGATAAGAAAGAAATTTTGGCATATAAAAAAAAGGGTATTGGTGGTGGAGAATGGGCACTGGTGGTGGGATGGGTACTCGATCATTGTATAACTGAAACCCAAGCACAACAACTTGTAAGTCTACAACTGTACCTCATGGTGTTTCACTAACAAAAAAAAAATTTTTTTAAAAATTAAAAAAAAACAGGGTAGTTTTCTGGACATACGTTGGGCTGATGAATGTATGAATGAAGCACTCAAAATTAATGTTAAGCTAAAAGTCATAGAGATTTAAAAAACTA